CAATATATAGCTTGACACCGATATATATATATATATATATATACATTTCCATGGGTCAGCTGCAAATTTTGGGAGCGCTCGGAGCGGACAAGCGAACAAAACGATTACTCACTCCAGTTTGCGTCAGTGGAGGTTGTTGCTGTACCGGGAGCGTGTAATTCGTGTAGACGGAGTTCTGGTTGAAGGCTTCCTCCTGTACGCCGTTCGGGGCAGCCGGCTGCCCTGGTGCAGGGTGCGAAGCCATCATCACAGTCTGTTGCGCGACGCCGGGTGGGAAGACACCCTGGGGGTAAGGTTCCGAGGTGGGTATGTAAGCCGCGTAGGGCTGCATCGGCATCGTCCTGACTAGAGGTTGCTGCGGCTGCTGAACCGCGTTATGTTGCTGCTGCGGCTGAACTACAGCGGGAGGCAGTGGCGGCGGCAATGGTGGCGGTACGGGCGGTGCGGGCGGTGGAGTGTACGGCAGGCTCGGTGACGTGGCCGAATTCGTCACGTGCATCGTGCTCGCCGGCTGTGGTGAAACCGGGGCTGGTTGCTGCTGCTGTTGCTGCTGCTGCTGCTGCTGCTGCTGCTGCTGATGCTGATGCTGTTGTCGGTGTGGCGATACCATCGTCGAACCCGGCGTAACCGTCGTCGCTATCGGACTCGAACAATGAATGTTGTTGCTGTTCGGGCTGTTGTGCTTATTCGTTGTCGTCTGAGACCGCCGCAGCTTTCTGCTGCCTTCGTGCTTGCCAGTCGTTCGATGAGGCTCCGACTGTTCCGTCTGTTTTGAGCCTGTATCGATACGGGTGATGGTAGTGATAGTAATCATCCGGTTAATTAGCCAGATAAGACAATGGAATTTTTAAACTAAAAAAAAAAACGAGCGTGTCATACATACTTTCATGCCCCTCCAAATCTTCGTTGAACAGATTCGGCAGGTTGTCGGGGTCGAAGTAATACGTCGATCCGTCGGGATTGGTGAGCGGCTGGCTCGTCTGAGGGTTTATAATAATACTACCACGTGGTACGCTCGAGAGATTGGTAACCGCCCATATGACCTTTTGGACGTTTGGCTCGGGCGACGGAGCATCCTGACTAGAAACTGATTGGGAGTGGTGGCACGTCAACGCGGGAATCGGCGACGGCGAGGGCGACGGTGAGATCGTCGCGTCGCTTCTTTGGCTCTGTGACTTGTATCCGCTGCTCGACGGACTTAATCGTGAACACATGCTGGCCCCCGAGTCTTCGACGGAAGCCGCTAAAAATTAATATTACCGGTGACGTGTTATCCATTGAAACGATGAGTATGAGCCGCGATTACTTGTACCTTGCTTCATCAGGCGAGCACCGGCACTGTGAGTGGACATGACGCTGTCACCTCGGGACAATCCTCCTCGGCCGGTGTAGCCACCAAAGCTGTACGACTTTGAGACAGAAGGCCGCTGATTATTCGTACGAGTGCAGGTCTCTTGGAGCGAATCGACCTTTAGCAGCCTCATCTGCCTAGAGTTGTAGTTAATTGTTAATTATGATTGTTCTGCGTGTGATTTTATACATATAGAAAATAAGAGTAATAATAA